CAATCCACATAAAGCTATACCTATATGAAAGCTTACAATATTTTACATCTTTTCAACCACTCACCAAGTTTATAAAGATAATATTGGTAAAAAATCTTAGCTTTGAAATAAAAGGTAATGCTGTTTTTGAATAAACATATCTTAACATAGAGAGCCTCTATCAATATGGGAGAGGGCTCACTAGAAAGCTATAATGCCATAGTTTTATTTTTGATTAATAATAATGTTTGCATTTGTTATAAAAATCATGAGATATTTTAAAAAACTGATTTGTTACACGAGTCGGATTTTCTATTTTATATATTAATATTAATATGTAATTACACTTCCTGTGACATATCGTTTGACTGATACGTTAAAGAATATGACCTTTTTTTAAAAAAAAATCAATCAATATTCACAAAAAATTGAGGGTGATTATAAGATTTGTACGGCATCTTTAATGATGCCATTTTTTTAATGATTCATTAATTAATTATTATGATATGTACTCAGAACAGATTATTTTGATCATTTATTTTGTTATTGTCATCAAATGCCAAAGTATTAATATGTCATAAAATTAATAAAAATACTCTTTACTCAAAAAACGAAATTTAAATCCAATAAAAATAATAATCTCATTAATTAAAACAAAAAAAAATGTTAAATGTAAAATGACTAATTGACTTCATTTCTTGCTTATATATATATATATATTACATGTATTAATAGTTTTTAGGCTTCAAAATGTTTTAATTATCTATCTACTACCAATTTTGGATATAATTCTTCGCATTTCTGCTTTTGATACATACTTTTGCGATTTCTGCAGTTTTCTGCTAAAAGCAGAAAATCATCGATCTCTCAACCCATTCCAAGAAAAAAAAGTGTATATATATCAATATTATTCTAAAATTCAGAGTTTTTTTTATGCTGCAAATACTTTAATAATACTCAAGATATGAAAGTGATAAATGATTGAAAAATTTTTATTAAAAATTTGATATATTTGCAAAAATATCACAAACAAATGTTTTACTTGTTAATTAACCAAGCAAAGATTATCAATTAATCAAATAAAAAAATAATTAGATCGATCAATCTTTAATCAACATCAAAGCTTTCTTCAATAAAGGCTTCTTGTCTTTTAAGATATCTTCAACATCCTTCGCTCTAACACTCAAAGTGATCTTATTAGCTCTAGATATTTTGATTACATTGGAATTTTTAAGTACTTCAGTTGCTGCTTTTAAAGAACACAAATTAGTTTCCAATGGCAAAGTGGGATTCCTTTTTGAAAATACTTGTAGAAATTCTTGTATCTAATTAAAAAAATATTTATTTATTTATTTATTTATTAAATAATTGATTAATCTCGTTGTTTTTATTTTATTTTATTTTATTTTATTTACCTTTGTAAGATCAATTTTTTTCTCTTTTTTCTTGATTAAACATACTATTGCGAATAATGCCATACTTTGTGCATGATTCAAAGATCGCAATCTATTTGTAATAGGTGAAATGATGATGTCTGTATTAATAATTTGATTAATATGTGTAATTGTAATTTCTGGCATTGAAATTTTTTGTTGTGATTGTTGTTGTTCTAATGAATTTTCAGAATCTGAAAGAACCATTTTTTTTATTGATTTCTTTCTGTCCTTTTCTTTTTCTTCCAATTTTTTTTCTTCTGTTTCCTTTTCTTCTAATTCTTCTTCTACCAGTTCAATCGCTTTCATGCAAATATTCAACGCTAATCTTAAATCACCATTACAAGCAGCAACTTTTTTTGCACAAAGCTCAATTGCTTTATCTTGCATCAAAGATGATGATATTGGTTTTTCTGACATCATAATTGAATTTTCCTTTTCTGCGGAGGCTGCAGCTAAAAGACGATCTTTAATTATTTCCATAATCTGAGAATCATTATATGGTGTAAAACTAACTTGTTTCGGTTCACCTGTACATGTACATATATAGGAATATGTGTAAAATAAAGGTAAGTAATAGTTAAACAAATCATTAAAAAAATAAAAATAAAAAATACCAACACTTCATCGATCTAATATAAATAGGTAATTTTTCATAAAATTGTAAATTAGAGATTCCAATAAGTATCAGACGTGATTCTTTATCATTTGCCAAGCTAAACAAATTATACAAGATATCCAGATCATTTTCAATTATACAATCGATTTCATCTAAAATTACAACACTTTATAAAATCATATAGAACAGTTTGTTACTAATTTAGATTAGGGAAATATATATATATATATAAGATAGAAATTAGATAGAGATAACTCACCACATTCCATGATCAATTGACATCATTAAACAATCTTCTAATACTTTTTGAGCTATTTCATTATCTTCTATAATATCTATATCTTTACAAAGTATTTCACATAATTCAATAAAAAACTTTTTGTAACTGACGTATCTACAATTTATTATAGGAGTTACTATTGGTGGAAGAAGACCAAGCAAGTGTTCTTCATCATCTATAATTTGCTCTCTGATTTCTTCTAACAAGGCAGTTTTGCCAGTTCCTGGAATGCCAGTGATATATAAACTTCCAGGTTTTCCGTCAATGATATGACTCGTTAAAAATTCCGTAATTTCCCTACGTTCTTCTTCACGACCAATAAGTCGTTTTGGACTTGCAGTTAAGCGAAAAAGTGATTTAGCTTCTTGAAGAGCAGGTGTAGAGTAAGGTGAAGGAATGGAGTTGGAAAATAAAGAATCACGGATGGGGGTGGAAGGGGTGGAAGAAGTATCAAATACATTATAAAACCGTTGGTTTTTAGGTGTCCTATAATTTGAAGATGGGCAATTTTCTCTGGAATCTTCTGTGGTATACATTATGAATATTTTTTTAAAAAAATCAACTAATTTTTGTTTGAAAATTTTTAAAGGGGAAAAATATTTTTGAACGTCTTGCACGTAAATAATAATATGCCGGACAACACGTAGGCTCTTAATCCCGTCAAAAAAGTTCGTGCGTCACTTGAATTTTGGCGATTATATCTATTTTTTTTTTTTTTTTTTTAACAAATTAATTGAATAAATTCTTTGTATACTACTAGTTTTCAATAATTTATTCATATTCATTATTTTTAAATGTTACCCGATCAACGTATTGAGCCAATTACCGATTCAAGAGAATGAATTTAAAGCTATTCGTTCATGTTAAAGAGAACATGAAATTATCCTTCCAATTGTAATATCTTAATTTAATAAGTATTAGATTAGAACAAAGAGAAGAGTTACCAGAAATAAATTCTGATTGGCTAATTTGAATTTCACGTAGTGAATTGTACTGTACGCACAACATCTTCACCCAACAATATATAATAAACATATCTTTAAGAACAAATACAAACTTGAAATAATAACGGGCTAGTCTTCCTGTCTAATCATTTTTTTTGAGATATTGTTTAGCGAGGTATTGTGTACTAGGGAGTGGCTATACGGATTAGTGAAACCTATATGATGATAGTTTAGAAAAGTAAAGCATATATATAAATTATTATTTGTGACTCGAACACGATTCCACAATATGCTAAAATAAAAATAAATTATTGTCACCGAACTTGCATTTAAAATTGATGAGGAAATACGTAATAATGCAATGGGTTGATTTTGATAGAGAAAGTAGAAAGGTTTATTTAGCATTAAAAAGTTTAAATGATTCAAGAAAAGGCTTTTTTGATAGGTTGGTAGTTGTCATTTAAAACAAAAAAGCAAAAGTTAGTAAATCACCCTATAAACATAACCATCTTACAAAACGTAACAACATATCAGGAAAACAGTAACATGTATTCTACGTATATTCTACACAATATAAGTATATGTTTTTAATATTTGCTTATTCTATGTTAAAACCCCTAAAATTGTGTAGAATATATGCTGCTAGTTTTCCTGGTAAGAGGGATTGCATGATACAAAGCACACCCTTATTCACGAAGAAGAAATTAAGCTAATATTTTTCTTTTCTCTATTTTTAAGTTCAATCCAAATTTTTAATCGCTTCTGTTGTATTTTTTTTTTTTTTTTTTATAGGTTTAGTGGTTATAAAAGCTTTCCACCACCTTATAACCAATAATTTTTATTCCTCTTTCTTCATGGACATTACTGCTTAAACCTCAACATTCACGATTTTTTTGAATTCCATCATGAGTCAAGATTATCTTTTCATTAAGTTCTTCAAATATCTGGGTAACCTCATTAGCTACTTACTGCCTTTTGTTCTTCCTACAGTATTTTGTGGATATTACGTGAATGAGCACGCAACAAAAATGATCTAGATACACAAAGGTTTTCTCTTTTTAAATATCAATGAAACAGCAAGGGGAAATATCCAAAAAATCAATCATGGATGTAATGATCAGCATGGTCTGATGGGTCGACGTATACAACTAATCAATTTAATAATAGTTGTTGATTTTAAAAACGGATCCATCTTAAATTAAAGATCCACCGCAGGTAAATCTTTGTCAAATTTCTTCATTCTTTCTATCACACGTGTCGTAATATGTCTTCATCTGAAAGGTGAATGAGATTAATGGAGCAGGCGAGATAAACAGATCAACGGATGAGTTTGCAGCCCATACTTGGACTATCAGTCCTAAACTTTAGTCTGGACCCTTATTCCAATTTCTTGACCATTACATATGTTTTATAGTTTAAATATCTCAATTTTATTAATTATGGTTTCTAGGCTTTATAACAAGCCGCATATAGATGTGTTATTGACTCAAAATCATATGATTTTCGGAATTGTGTCTATTTTTCGTGCCCATCCTATCACTATTTTCACTGCCAAAAAAAAATTTTAATCTTTTACAAGTTATTCATGAAATGTTTATAATTAATAAACGTGTACACTAGCAAACTTTTTATTAATATAATTTGGCAAAGGCAATTGTATCAATAATCCATGGAATTGATGGATTTTCATTCACTATAAAATAAATAAATAAATTAATTAATACAGAAATAACACATCAACAGTTTGAAGTTTAAAAATATCCACGTCTAAATGATGATGTATCAAGTATATATTTTTTTATCTACAAAAAAAAAACTCAAATTTTCAAAAAATACAAATAAATCATAATAAATAAAAATAAATAATTTAAAAATATATATATTTATATAATCCATTCCAATTATGAATAATTTAGATACTTACCAAAATTCAATTACTATTAATATATAACAAATTAATATATAAATAAATAAAATGGTGATAATCAATTAATTAATAATATAATAATGAATTATTTCTCCCTCTCTATTGTTTTATTATCATTATCTCATTCTCTCATATAAATAATATTCACCACTTTCATAATAATTATGATAATGAACAATTTTAGGGCACCAATAATTAACCAAATGATTATAACATCTGACAATTGTTTTTAAAATAATAAGAATTATTCTCTTTAGATAACCTCTTTTTCTCTTACATATATAAATAAATATTGATTTTTTTTTTTTTGCATTCCAATATCAATTGATTATTTCACATATATATATATAACCTCATTATTATCCTATTAATTAATCCAATTATTATGCCATTCATATAATATAATCTTTCCCAAATATTTTTTTAAAGGACAAATAAGAAATCTTTATTTTTAATAAGGGCGATGTCTATCACGACGATCTTGTCGATCATCCGGTTTACCCTGTCTTCCATACCCTTGATCATAATTACTATTGTTTGAATAATTGCCACCGCCGCCACCACCACCACCACCACCCATACCACCTCTACGACCTTTATACCCACCTCTATTAGAAGAAGAAGGGGATGATGATGATGATGATCCATATCTCGCGCCTCCACTACTGCCTCCTGCTGCATTTGAACGGGGTGTATGACATTTATAACATTCCATTCTTCTAGCAAAATTGTTTGAATTACATCTTTTTTTACATAAAGATAAATATAAATAAGTAAATGTTGCGAAACAATAAATTATTATTAGCATCGTGAAACAATTAATTAATTAATGCTTACGAATCACATGCCCAATCACCATCTCGTGGAGGTGGTCCTCCTCGCCCTCTACCTTGAAATCCGCCACCACCACCTCCGCCACCACCACCACCTCTTCCTCTATTTCTAAACCCGCCGCCACCTCTTCCGCCACCACCACCTCCTGGTTTACTATTAAATCCTGCAGCGGAAATTTTTCGTACTGACATTTCAACTTTTATAACCTGTATCAAAAAAAAAAAACAAATAATCAATATTATATAGTTATAACGAATATATGTGTGTAAATATGCAATTATTATTAATTACTATTGATTTTACCTGATCAAGAAATGGTTGATTATTAAAATATCTAATTGCAGCTGCAGTTGAATCAGGATCCTCGTAAGTTATTGTAGCTATTAATAATAATAATATTATTATTATTAACGTCTATTAATATATGAGCACAAAAATATGATTATCATATATTTACCATCTCCTTTAGGAAGTCCATTTATCTTGTCATAATATATCCATACTACATATAATTATATAATATATATATTAAATAATTATAAATAAATATTATTATCAAATTAACATTATCATCTCCTACTTTTTGGCTTTTGTGTTCTTTTATCAATTTTCAACATTCCAATTCCACCAAAATGCTCAGCTAGATTGGCTTCAGTTACATCTTTGCTTAAATTAGAAATGTATATCGTGTCATTAGAAGTATGTAATATTGAATTATCACTGTTATATTTATCTATTATTATTGATATTATTATTAAAATAAAAAGAAGAAAATTAAGCTTTGTTTTCTTGTTTTCACGTCAACGTTAATAATAATAATAGATATAATTAAAGATGATTTTTGCAATTAATAAGGAGAAAAAGAAAAATATATATATCTCTTTCTACAAATAATAATAAATATTATTATTATGAACCCCCGATCAACTAATTTAACATTAAGAAATGACATCTGACCCTTATAATCACTTTCATTATGATTTCTATAAGATGATTGCATTTTAGGTGGTGGTGGTGATAATGATGATTGTTGTACCACACCACCACTAACACCATAATTGTAATTGTAATTGTAATTGTCATATTTATTATTCCCTTTGTTATTAATAGTATTACTACTACTATTATAATTATAATTGCGGTTGCTAATATTGTCGCCACCTTGAGGTTTGCCGTAATAATTATCACCATATAGATTATTATAATCATTACGATTGTAATTATTATTAGGTATTTCATATGATGAAGATGACAATGGTGGCGGTGGAACAGACGACAATGATGAATTATCCGATGTTAAATCTTGACCTATTTTTTTTGACGATGATGATGATGATGATTTCTAGAAGCAACAAGAGATAAAAAAAAGCCAGTAGTATCAAGAACAGGTTCATCTATTGTATAATTACCGTAATTAGTACCACCACTTGCATTAGCTCCGCTACCACCTAATCCTTCATAACTTTCATTGCCACTAATAGTAGTAGCAGCAGTAGCAGCAACAGCTGAAGAGGAAGTAGGACGTTGCTGATAATAATCTACAGAAGAAGATGACGAGGAAGAGTTAAGTGCCGGTAATGATGATGGTGGTAACAGTTGTGAAAATTGTGATTGCTGTTGTTGATGATGATTAAAATTATTATTAATATTAGTAGCATCATTACTACTATTACTACTACCGTTATTATCATTATTTTTGTTGCTGCTATTGTTGAACGTTGAAGAAGATGATGGTGGAGGTGGAGGTGGAGGTGGATTGTCACCTCCGTAATAATATTCCGATGAAGGATTCGCTGGAGCTACATACCCACCTTGGCCATACGGATCGTTGTCTATCAATATTATTATTTTTAATTTGAAAAAAATGGAATGGAAATTTATTTATTTGTTTTTTTGATAAAAATACTCAATTTTTATAATTAGTCGAAAAAAAAAAATGGAGTTGGAGTTTTAACCAAGAATGGAACCTCTCAATTTTTCCCCTTTTAAACCTACATTGTTGATATTCATAATTTGAAGGTGGTTCTTGTTGACCACCATAATTTGAGTATTGATCCATACTTTGGTTTTTTTATTAAAAAAAAGTAAATTTATATATATTAATATTTATAATAACAGTGAATAAAACTACAAAAAACATGAGGATTTTCTGTGTCACAATCCTTCTAATATGAAATTTTGTGCCATCAATTTGTGTTACATAAATTTTTTTTTTTTAAATTCAAAATTTTATAATCATTTTTATAATTTATATTTTTTAATGCTTACTTCTAAAGAGGTTTCACGACAACAAATCAACCATAATAATCATAAACGAAAAGTATGGCGTACAGAATTACACCAAAATTACAGGAGAAGATCAACCATTATGCAAAGTTTCCTCAAACTGGAGTGTCGTTAAGACAGATGGTTATGTTTGGTGCGCGTACCTGCCTCACTTTTTTTTCTTTAAAAAAATGAATTAATATTTGTTTCGGTTTTTTTTTTAAAAAAACAATAATTTATTTAAACCTTGAAATATTAAAATGAAAAAATGTATATAGGTCAAAACCCTTCTCAAGGAACCTTATTTAGAGCTAGTCAATTTTTGTCAGGTAAAAATAAATAAATTATGAAAATTGAAAATCGATTGTTGCCATAAATCGGAAATAATATTATTTTTATAAATTTAATCTTATGATTGATAGATGAATTACCAATTAGATTGGCACGTAGAGTTAAAGAGTTAGATGATTTACCTCATCATCTTAGTGAAATGCCATCTATAATTAAAGTAAAGAATTGGTATGCTCAATCTTTTGCGGTATGATTTACACAAAAAGTGAACAAATATACATATTTTTTACAATTCATATATAATATATCATTTTGATTTTTTTAATAATTAATTAGTCGATTGATGAATCAATCTATGTTAATTAATAATAGTTTTATTATTTTAGGAATTGGTAAATTTTCCAAAATTAGAATTACCGCAAAATATTAAAGATATGCTTGCGCCTAATTCAGGTGAACAAACCAAATTACCTGAAAATACCCCTAATCTATCATTAAAACCACCAATAACATCATCATCGTCAACTACAATAACACCAAGCATAAATACAGTCATACCACTTGAACATAGGTATTAAGATAATTATTTTTATCATGATTAAGTTTGTTTTGTTATGTAAATTAATGAGTCTGTGTGTATGTATGTGTGTATATATATATATATATATATATAGATATTATTCAAAGATTGATGAGGTTGATTGGCCACCGGAAATTCGATATTATAATGAAAAATTTACAAAATTAATAGAAGGAATTAAGAAGCGCCACGATCCTGTTGTGACTAATGTGGTATAATATTTATTTATTATCAAAAAAAAAATTTATTTTTTATTTTTTATGAAATATTTTCTAACTATAAAGATTCACCACTCATAAGTTCTATCAATTTTAGGGTAAGGAGTTCCTTTTAAATTTAAATAAACAAATATCCTTATTTTTAAATTAAAAAAAAATTTTACCTGGACGTGTTTATATTTATATTATTTAAAATTATAATCATAATAATATTATTATTACCACCATTATTATCATTATATCTTTATTAGCCCAAGGAATAATCGAATACAAAGTAAAAAGAGATAAAAATATTATTGATGTAGATGTTCAATCTTTTTTGGATCGTTTTTATATGTCACGGATTGGGATTCGTGTATTAATTGGTAAAAAATTATATAAATATTATTATAATGTTTAACTAATAATGATATTTAATATTTAATTATTAAAAATTTTAAAGGTCAACATGTAGCACTAAACCGACTACCATCAAGATCAGATTATGTAGGTATAATTTGTACCAAAACAAATATAGGACAAGCTGTTCAAGAGGCTGCTGATAATGCAAAATTTATCTGTGAAGAGTATTATGGACTATTTAATGCGCCTGAAATTCAATTGTACTGTCCTGATGATTTGAACTTTACCTATATACCGACTCATTTGAGTCATATGCTTTTTGAATTATTGAAAAACAGTTTACGTGCTGTGGTTGAGTTTTCAGGTGATGATGCAGATGAATATCCACCAATCAAAATTATTGTTTCAAAAGGACAAGAGGTATGACGATACATTTGATTATTATGGTTATGGTGATGATTATGATTATGATTATGATTATTATTATTATTATTTTAGGATATCACTATAAAGATATCAGATGAAGGCGGTGGCATTCCAAGAAGTAGTATTCCTTTAGTTTGGACCTATATGTACACGACAGCACAAGCAAAAGCATTAGATCCAGATTTTAATCAAAAGGAATTTAGAGCACCAATGGCCGGATATGGTTATGGATTACCAATTAGCAGACTGGTATAATATTCCTTCAATGTGTTTATTTATATGTATGTATATATGTATATAATAAAATTTTTATATTTTTTTCCTGTTTAAATAAATAGTATGCAAGATATTTTGGTGGTGATTTAAAGCTGATTTCAATGGAAGGGTAAGTTTTATATGTGTGTGTTATATATGTATTTGCACAATTGATATTATTTAATCCTTATATATATATATATATATATAATGTTGAGTAGGTTTGGAACAGATGTTTATCTTCATTTGAATCGACTTTCAAATAGTGATGAACCTCTTCAATAATTTTTTATGTGTATATGTTTATATATATATATCATATGGGCATTTATTTATATTGGTTGGTTGGTTGGTTATTTGTTATTATTATGATTAGAGTGGGTGAAAATGAAGAATATCACGAGTTGGATTTAAGAAGAAAAATGGACTTTTGGTGATTTTTAAAAATATTAATATATATAGATAGAAAAATGGTTCATCATTATTATTTTTAATAATTATTATTATTTAATAAATTAATCTTCCTAATATACAACTTGCAAAATAATTTACGTTTTACCGATACATAATATGATATAAATTTATAAAATCATTGAATGGATATTGCGATTTTATAAACGTTACACAGAACATAGGAAAATTTTATGACGAAAGAAAACCAAAATTGTGTGAAAAATGGTTTTTTTATTATTCCCGACGATTTTTGATCATGACCTTTTCATAAATCTCTCTATACCGATAAACTAGAGATATTATATTCAAAAATGGAAATAATAAAACTTTTTTTTATGGACTAGTTTACATGTGATTTTTTTATCATCATCATTTTCTTGCTTCGTCGATCATTAACTTATTAACTAACTTATTGATCGAGATTATTTAATTTTAATTTAATGATGTAATATATATATCCATACGAGATTGTTATTTGCTTAGCTTCTTTTATTGTATTTTCTTCCTAATATTTTTCCTCTGAGGTTTCTTTTGCTTCCAAGTCAAGAGTAAATAAATCAACATATTTTTGAAATATTTGAGCATAACAAAATTTTTCTCTTCTTTCGGAAGAATAGTTTGTTGCTTGCTCCTTTACGCCAGGAAATATGCTCTTCTAATAAATCCAATCGGTTGTATGGAAAATCCAGACATTTTCGACATTAAATGCTCAAAGTCTATTATAAGTACATGATGCGTTTTTAATCTTTCTGGAATGTCATTCATATTGTTTCGATCATTTAGGCTCCCCCCATAAAGGATCGATTTCTACCCTTATTCATCCGAATGCTTCTATATATAATACATTGGTAGCATAATTAAGATTGATCTCCTCAAATTTATCTATGTCATGAAGAAAATTTATACCATCAAAATTGGCTATGTTGGCATAACGCCGAATTTTATTTATGCGTTCAAGGTGTGTAGGTTTCTGTCCTGCTTTTAATACATCTTCTCTTGCATGATAGGCTGATACACAATCTTTAAAACCATAATTATCATTAAGATTTATTGGACAAGTTGTGGCTTGTCTAAAGCTTCGTATCACACGGAGGTTTGAAAGTGCATGTTTCTAAAAATATCTCTTTGTCTCTGACAAAAGGCCCATCCAGATTCCTGTGTTGCCAAGTCTTTTGGTCTATGATTTCGTTATATTCTAGAGTTGGATTCGACTATTACTATTTTAGTCGACCAATTATTTAATAAACGATTTTTGTGATACAAAGCCTTTTTATTATCTGAAATGGAAAACAATAATTTCTGTATTAGTATCAATAATATTTTATTTTGATTATAAATACGGATCTTATCACAACAAAGTGAGTGGCCAGGCCCCATACGGAAATGATAAATTTGTCCGCGTTATTTCTATTTCAAAAATCAAACTGTTGGAAGGAGTGGAATTCATTTTCCGTGTGTTCTCCGTGAAAGCTTTTTTATAATAATAGTAACTCTGTATTAATTTCCATTCTACAATCACCATTGAAACTAGTGATGAGTGGTTAATAATACCCTAAATTATTAGTATAGTTATTAACTGAGCCAAACTGAAAATTTTTAATATAACAAACTAATCGGAAAAGGTTTTTACGCCCCCATCACTAGATTACGAATCGCGTTTCAACAAAGCTATACGTTTTCATGATGTGTAACAAGAATTTAATTCTTTGTTATGATTTCATCGAAAAAATGATAATATATATTAACAATACAGTATTATAATAATAATAATAACAATAACCATAATAGTAATAATAATAAACTAATATAATAAATAATCAACAAAATATAAATAGTAGCCAAATAAGGATTTTTTTGGACAATTATAATCTCTATTATAACCCCTTTTATACACACCTTGGTTCGATCATCTAATAATTTCTATTATTTCATGCTTGAAATAGGAATATATCTTCATGAATTCCCGGTCTGGGCTCTGTTAAATTTTTCATTAATGCAATTAACACTATTCTTACCTTTAATCCACCCTTTAAAACTTAACTCTCCTTTATATATATATCTGCGATCTTTTCCTCAATTGACTCAAAAGGATGCTAATGGTTCACCCTCAGCATGATATCCTTGTGGTACAGTTGCATGGTAATCGCATACTTTTCCTTCATTAAATTTTTTGGCTCCTGATTCTCTATCAATATATGGATCTCGGATTTTTTTTAAAATGTACTTGTGGTTCTTTCACTAGGTTCGTCATTGGATTCCGGTCCCATCTCCTCCATTGGATCAAGCCACCCTTGACCATTTTTGATGCTCTTTTTCCCGAGAGTTGGATTATTTTTTTTATTTCCGGTTTACTTAGCCATTCTACCAATTTATCTATTGTTAGATATGTATAGTTCTTAGCCCTGGCCTGCTTCTAGATTGACCGTTGGTAAAACTCCTCTGATGTTCTATTGTATTTTTTTTCATTTCTAGTGGGCAGAAACTCTCGTTGAATGAAATCATGCCGCCTTTAGGTGGAGGAATGGCACTTGGGGCGGAAATTCTGTGCAAAGCAATGAGGAGAGTCTCTTAAGGAGGATTTTGTGCTGGTGCTAGAGCTTGCAGAGTAATTCTAAGTGGGCATGGTTTTAAATGCTGTTGATACTTTTGATATGTAAAAAAATTGATATCACTATTACTATTACGAATAGGAGGAACTCCAACTCAATTCAATAATAATAAAGATTTTTTAAACGTTTTTCATTTCGTTTTAATTCTCTGACCAAGCATTGTAAAATTTTATTTAGTCGTTTCAACGAATTATAATTAAATTTGCGTTACTATGAATTTTTAAACGAATTTTATATGCAATTTCTTATATGCATTAAAAAAATTTTTTATTAGAAATAGATATTAAAACACAGAATTGTTCTCATTTGAAATTTTCGGAGTTTTTTAAATTATTAATGATTATTTAAATGTTCTAAAATTCAAGCATGTTATACAGTTTATTATTGCGCAAAATCGTGATTTTATATTAAATCTCGAGTTTTCGAGTCGAGCCAAGCATAAACTCGGCTCAGCTCATTCGGGGCTTTACTTTTAATTAATTATTTCGCTCTGTATTAATTTTAGAATGTCAATGCTCCGCTTTGCTCTACATCAGAGGAATGCTATATATGAAAATTTTGTTAGAATGCCGATGCTCTGCATATAGGAAATGATGTTATGCCTCATATATTACCATGCTACTGATATATATTGCTATTCATGTGAGCCAGTTTACTGGTTGGCAACAAGACTTGCTCCCATTTATTTTATCTGAATTGAGAGTGTTTTTCGATATCTGTTTGTGTCCACCGCCCACAATTTAGCTATCTAAGTACCATACAGTTATGAAGGTACGAGGTGTAATTTTTTGGTTAAATTTTGGTTGATATAATGTTGATAATAGATGACCATCACTTTTCTCCATGGGAAAAAGATATTATTGCCGATTTTACTATTTATGGAATGACTAGAAATATCACATGACCAAACAATTTTTTTATTGCATTTTTTGATTCCTCGAAATCGTCGTTGAGGCGTGGGACTAGTGATTTGCAACCATAAATTAATTATTTCACTTCTATTCGCTTAAAATGGAAGAAGAGAATTCAGAGAAGAAATTAATAATACAATAATGAGAGTGAAGAAGTCTTCCGCCGTTCATATTTGTAGAAAAGAAAAGTAAAGGATGGTTCTAAGAAGTCAAGTTGGTTATGGAACTTGATAGAAGAAACTTAAAAGATGATGGAGGAAATCTAAAGAAGCTACAGTATTTGTCAAGTTAATGTTTCCAAAGCTTCTGATATTGTTGTTTATTGTAATGTTGTAGTACGTGGTGGTGAATCTACGTTACATATTTATTGGAAATACAAAACTTTTGATAACACTGAATATTCATTGAATAATTAAAATATTTGCTATTGCCAAAATGATTATTGAAAAATATCTGATATTCAGTACTATATAATTAATATTAATATATTTAAATATTACGTAATGAATTGGAATGATTTTATTGGCAGTAATTCTTGTAATTCTCGAGATATATATGGTAAAATTAATATTGCAAAAAGTAATATTTATTTTCAATTTTTATTCTAAAGAAAATGTATGTATAAATTGTAAATATAATTACAATAATAATAATAATAACCTTTTATTATTACCATAATTATTTCTATTATCATTACTATTATTATTACTATTATTAGGATTTAATAGTTGTTAAAATAAGATCAACGCTAGTTTTTTATCTATTAAAGAATTTCATTCACTAGTGTGTTTAAACAGACAGATCAAGAAAGGCTTCACTTGATTTCAATTTTTATAATATAAAACTTTATTCAAATTTTCCCTAAATTACATTTCATAAATTCTAAAAATTACACTTTTCTTTTTTTCGTTATTATATATTAAGACCTTTTCTTTAGATTTATAAAGAAACACATCACACAAAATAAAATAAAAAAATGGTCGTCGGTAAAATTGTCCATATAGCAATTGATGCAGTGTTAATATCTGCTGTTCTAGCTGGAATAAAAAAATCTACAGGATATACGTAAGTTTTGTCTTTATTGTCATTCTAAATATTTTTAATACTGATAATAACACTGATAATAATACTGATACTTATAATAGAGTTGCTACAAATCGAATCGGAAATCCCGATCTAAGAACAGCAGTTACAAAATTTCTAACAATTGGGGAAGTAGTTGTAGAAAGTAGCGTTACTTATATAAGTACTTCTGCTTATTTTGAAAAAACCAGATAACTTTATTAATAAAATTTTCAGGAGACTTTATTTATTTAAACATAAACATATAAACAATTCATTCATTCCATATATAATCATTTCTCCTTACTTACTTCTCCACAATCCTCACCTCCTAATTCTTCTCTTTCTGTAACTTCATCCACATCCACATCCACATTCACATCCACATCCACATCCCCATCTTCATCTTCATCTTCATCTTCATTTTGACCAACATAGTCATCAATGTTCATTGCAGAAATAAGATCAATATTTCTACCATATTCAATAACATTATTACGTGGTTCTATGACCATTATTAAAGACTTTCTAAAAACATTAAATCCTCGATATCCAATTTCAAGTATTGGCTTCGCATCTTCTTCGTTATCATTGTTATTTTTATTATGTTTGTCTCGTTTTGATGCAAGTTTTTCAGATGATGGAAAAATAAAATTCTTTTCCTTTTTTATAATATATAAATATTAGATATTAATATCCAGAACAAAGTTATATATTAAGGCGAGAAACAAACCTTTGTTAATACCGAATGTTTAGCTTCAGTTGGTTTAAAATAATATGCAAACTGAAAATTTGCTAAGTTATAATCATTTTTATTAATTAATTAATTTATAAATAGATTTTCTCAAGAAATCTTGATATTATTATTATTACCACCACGATAAACATCAGATGACATTCTATTATCATTATTATTGTTGTTGTTGCTATAACTTTTGTTTTCTCCCTGCCTGTTCTTTGTTTTTTCCTTGAGAAATTTCTTTGGTAAAATATTATATAAAGCAGCAATGATTTCCTACTTTCGGCCAATCGATAAATCAAGTTTAATGAATAAATTAATTTATTTTTCATAGTAATCATTAATTATTTACTTGGAATGTCACGTCATTAAACCATGAAACATGCGCTTCTTTTAAGTAAAATATTAAGGGCAAAACTTGTCTTTCTGAAATTCGTAAATATTGAATATTATATTTTGAATATTTTGTAGTCATAATGTATTATTAAAATTTTTAATGGCAATCAATGATGTAAATAAATGAAACCAGTGGTTAATCTATTTGTGCCAATTAGCAAGCAATTTGTCTTATTTAAATCATAAAAAAATAAAATAAAATAAAATAATGTATTCAAAGACTATTGCGTTGATTATTCAGTCATAGTTAACTAGTAAACTATCAGAAGTTATTAAAAAAGAAGGAACAATTGGATTTTACTTTGTTTTTTCCTTGAGAAATTTCTTTGGTAAAATTCCTACTTTCGCCAATCGATAAATCGGTTAATATTAATGAATAAATTAATTGATTTTCACAGTAATCATTAATTATTTACTTGGGAATTCACGTCATTAAACCATGAAACATAAGTAAAATATTAAGGCAAAACTTGTCTTTTTGAAATTAGTAGTCATTATTTTTACTAATGTGGCAACCAATGATGTAAATAAATGAAACCAGTGTTAATTTATTTGTGCCCAATTAGTAAACAATTTGTTCTTATTTAAGTCATAATGTATTCCTCATCATAAAAAAAATAAAAAAATAAAAAAATATGTATTCAAAGACTATCGCGTTAATTATTCAGTCGTACCTTTATATTAAAGCGGGGACGAAACCTCATAATTTAACTAGTAAACCATCAGAAGTTATTAAAAAAGAAGGAATAATTGGATTTTATACGGTCTATATATTTCCTTACATGATAGTTTCAGTAGCAATCTTTATATCAACTTATTACATTTTTCTTATGTTTGGACAACAGTACAAAGCGGAATTGTTACACGAAAGAGATTTATCATCTTGGTATCTTGTTGATTTGATTTTCTACTTTACCACAGTATTCGGAGCATTATTAAGATTATGGTGTTATAGGTCGTTGGATGAGTTTTTCACTTTTGATCTTAATGTTCAAAAGGATCATAAATTAATCACAACCGGTCCATACTCATTACTAATTCATCCATCTGTAAGTGTCTGATTATTGCCGTTGTTGATTATGATTATTATCAAACTATTTACTAATTAACACTTATATCATACACTTTTCAACAAACAGTATACAGGTTATACATTAATGTTGGCAAATATAGAATATATGTCTTTCGTCATTAAGGATTATCTTCCAAATTATATTGAAATTTTAATTTTCAACTATGTCACAGTTTTAGTATTTTTTTTAATATTTTTTAATAGAATAACTGTTGAAGAAAAAATTTTGAAAAAACATTTTGGAAGAGATTGGGAAGTTTATTGTAGTCAAAGAAAAAGATTCATTCCTTATTTGTTGTAATAAACCAGACGTAGAAAATAGAAAGATTTTCTTGATTATTACCATTATAACAATTATTGCTCAAAAAAAAAATTTTTTTTTAAGATTAAAGAAGGTGACTGGATAAATTATTATACCGTATATATGTATATACACACCTAGATTTTGTTACATTTAGAAAATGCGGGCAATCTGGTAACATTACATGCATAAATAACAATAACAACAATAACATTTTTATCCTTTATGCCGCCCACTGTCCCGAGAAATATGACTTCAAACACAAAGTAAAACTTCATTATGATTATAACAAACTTCTCGTTTATTATTATTTATAATGAATATGACATACTCTCTATTATTTTGGTAAAAAAAGGCACAAAAGATACATATATGTGACAAGAAGACGAGAGTTAACTAAATGTATTTTTATTTCAAATGGTGAAAATATGCTTAAAAATGATTCTGAACTTAATATCAAAATGGTTTAACTTTGATAACAAACGTCGTACTAATTTAGAAATTATTTTACAAATTTAGAAACTATTTTACAAATTTAGCAATAAAATTACCACTGTATCATAACGCGCGTCAATAACAATACTGGTGAAATTAACCGAATTTTATCAATGCCGGCTGATCAAAATTTCTCAGGTACCACTGAATCCTCCCCATATGCGTTACACATTACTGCATTTCTAGAATAAAAAAACCCATTTAGAGACTAGTATTTGATAGGATCCTGATAAGAAAAAAACAAAAGAGATATGAAACTACAATTCTTTCCTAATCCCTAAAAAATAAAATGAACTTTATTTAGAGATATTTATAGTAACTAGTTGGTAATAAGAAATATGATAATGAGAATGGGAGAATTTGTGAGATGGAAATCTATAAAAGAATTTCTAAATTTATCTACTCTATAATTCGTTTTTAAATTAAAAATAAACAAACAAACTGAAATAGTATAAAAAAAATTTTTTTATTTTCATATAAAAGGACAATTTATTTTTCCCTTATGTAGTTTACTTTTCTTAAAGTTCTATGTTTTTGGAAAGCTTCACTTTCATTTTTAAAAAAAAAATTATTATTATTATCGATACGTTAATTATTATTGAAAATTTGATTTTCTTTGGAACGTGTTTAAAAAACAATAATACTATTATTTAAAATTAAAAAAAAAAAAAATTATGACTAAAAGAAATATAACTGTTCCACCTTTATATGTACAGAAACATGAATGGACTAAAAACTTCACAACTTATTGTGTTGTAATGTTCGTATTTTTCAATATACTTGGATATGTTTATTACAAAGACGATGTATCAAAAGCCTTAATAAATCCTGCTGGTTTATTTGCTGAACAATGTAATGATGTAAGTGTATATATCTATTTATTTATATTTATATTTTAATGCACGTGCGTGCGTTTGTCTATATATATTAATTTTTAATTATTATTTAGGGTTATATTTATGATAATGATAATAATAATAATGATGATGTTAAACCTGGCATAGTGATAGATATTGATGTGATTGGAGATGGTGGGGCTGATATACACGTATCAATTGATACACACAAGAGCATTGATCATGATAAAATGCTTTCAAATTATGATATGGAAATCAATAGAAAATATTGCGGAAAATCAGATTGTAAATTTTTATTTGCTTACTATCAACCAGAACAAGAAACAAAAGCAAATATGCATTATAGATCATTCGTTAATCTTGCAAGAGCATTGGATCGCGTGATGGTTTTAACAAATGTTGGTAACAGTAGAATCAATTCTTGTCAAAATTTCACTTTTAATCTTTACTATGATGTAGATGAAGTGCAAAATATGTTTCCTGATGTCAAATTTATCACTCAACAAGATTTTCAAAATTGGTTGAGCGAACGTCAAAAGAAACCAAACACTGAACACGCTTACATATTACCCGGTAACACTAATCACACCATGGAATATGTAACTCCTTATCCTGATATACTTAAAACAAAACATTGTTTAAATAGATTTGATTTCGCTTTAGATGATAATACCGTTTTCAAACAGTTTAATACCGGTCCAAAATTCACCAAAGACATAATTGTTCATCAGAATTTCGCAAACTTTTTGACTGAAAATTTAGTTAGTGACGTTGATGTATTATTGACAGCACATTTTGTATTCCATCCATTATTCCCACATGTCACTCCCCCAATGCCTTACGCAAAATATTTCTTTGACGAAGCTGAAAGAATATCTCGAAAACTTCAACCTTATATAGCTGTGCATTGGCGTATGGAAAGAGCTAGTCTCAAGAAGTTGAATGAATGTTCTGTAAAACTTGTCGAAAAAATCAACGAGATTAAATCGAAGCACGGAATAGAAAATGTTTATTTAGCTACTGATTATCCTATTTCTGGCGGTGGAAAATCACAATCCTCGACCTTCCATTTATTGACTGATTTTCATCATGACGCAATGAAATATCTCAATTCATCGGTGAATCTTAACAATTGGGCTACCATGAATGTCCTGGGTGATTTACGCCAAGATATGGCTTTTGAATCTGAATTTGTTGGTGCTGGTATGTCAGGAATTGTGGATAAATTGATTTGCATAAATTCTAATTATTTCTTGGCCACGCCGGAAGGTTGTGGTAGAGAACGAAGCACCTTTACCACAATGATTACAGATGAAAGGAATTCCACTATGATTTCAAATAATAAGGGTGGTCTTAATTCTGGTTTAGATGAGGTTACCAATGACACCAACACTGATTCCAATATTACTATTAATGGTTCAGCTATGATAAACATTGTAGAAAGATGGTTATAAAATATATTTTTCCTTTTTAAATAAAACTTTGTTAAACTAATTTTACTATATTGAATATAGAAATTATATTAATATAATTTATAATAATATATATATATACATATACATATTTCCGGCAATTTTATAATACAGCAAAACAACAATAATAAATAGTTAGTTTTGTTTTTTTTTTTTTTTGTGAATAAGGGTAGATAATAATAAGAAAAGTTTAATTATTAGAATTTATTAAATTGACATTTTTTAAAAAGTTTTTTTTTAATATTTTAATTTTTATTGTATGTATGTATGTATAAAGTCAAATTAATCAATCATTTTATTTTAAGATAATAAAACAATTTGTTTACTATTTTTGCATTATCAAAGCTCAATAAACATTCATAATACATATATATTTATATTTATATATTTATTATATATAAATATTATTTTTTTAAAAAAAACCAACATCCAATTATAATAATTATAATAATAATAATGTGAAGCAACAAAAAAAAACATTTCTCCGTATATATGTTCTTTTAATAACTACCAAATTAAATATAATATATTAATATTAATATTGTTAATAATATAAAGCTATAAAGCTAAAAATATTTAAAAAATAATAAAAAAGGAATAAGAAGAAAATAAATTTTATTATTATTATTATTATTATTATTATTATTCCATTCTAATAAGGTGCAAAAGTAGCACGTCTTCCTCTATTGTTATTATTATATTATATTATTATTTTTTAAAATTAGAAAATAGAGAGAGAGAGAGAGAGAGAGAGAGAGAGAAGGGAAAAAAGAGAGAATTGAAACAAAAAATAAATGAAAAAAATGCATATTTTATCTGCAAATAATTATATATCAGTATATGGATCATACACCTATACATATATATATATATTACCTTGCACGTCCGCCTCTGAAATTTGTTCCATAATAAGTGCCAGGTGGAAAATATCCACCACGCCAACTACCGCCACGAACACCTCTGCCTCTTCCTCTACTATAACCCGGAACATTTGTACGTTTAGCAGTAACCTAACATTAATTAATTAAATTAATAAGATGGATGGATGGATGTTTAATTACGAATATTATTTTTGATTAACCTTGATATGACGTCCGTGCAGCAGGGTGTTATCTAGCAACATTGCATGAGTGACCAAGGACGGATCAGCAAATTCGACATAAGCATATCTAAATTTAAAAAAATTAATTGGGAATATTAATTCATACGTATGTTCGTATTCCGCGTATCTATGTTTTTAAATATATATCTACTTACCCTTTAGGATGTCCACTCCATTTATCACAAAGTATTGTGACTCGGTTTATTGTACCACAAGATTGAAAATGATTTTGTAATTCTTGTGGTGTACAGGCATAATCAACCTTTTAAAATTATAAAAATAATTAAAGAATTTACATCCTATAAAATGTAAACAAATTAATAATATACACTTACATTTCCAACATAAATTGATCTTGCATCAATAGCTTCCTTATCTGTACATAAATAACATACATTGGTTAATATTAATAATAATAATAATAATAATAATTATTATTATTATTATTAATTTAATCTAAAAATACCTTCTGCACTCAAATTCATTTCCTTCTCAACTTGTGCCTGCATTTCACGAAGTTTTGCAGCCTCTTCCTCCATTTCTTTTACTCGTTGTTTCATTGCTTCAAGCTTTTAACATTTTTTTTTCATTGATATAAAATAACAAACAATTTACAAAGCAAAACAAAATAAATAATTGATCTAACAATATGATGAACATAATAATATTATTAAACAATATATACCGCTTCGGCGTCTTCTGTATTTTCTTCATGATGTTCAACTTGTTCTTCGATTTGGACAGCATCTTGAGTTTCTTCAGTCATTTCAGTCATAGTATTAAATGTGGTAATAGTAGTAGTGGTGGTGGTGGTGAAGGGATGATTTTAAAAAAATTTTGTTAATGAACGAAAAAAAAATAATCTTTTTTTTTTCCGTTCATTATTTTAATTAGAGTAGGTATTACAAAATAAATAGAAAATAATAATATTTTTGGGATTTTGATTGTATGTTATTTAAAAAAAATGTGCAATATTGAACGAACGAATCAATAGGGAAGGAGGGAGCGAGGGAATACAATAGTAATAAAAAAAAGTTATCTTCATCTCTCTCTGTCTTCTTAACCGTCGTCGTCATCATCATCACATCAAAATCGACAGAACAATCAATTTTTGTTGCTGAAAAATATATAAATACATGGATCTTTCTCTGATCTCTCATTATGACTCCTGTATTTTTTTACTAGTAGCTTTGTAGTTGTCGTTTTCTCTCATTTTTTCTCGAAAAAAATTTTTAAAAAAAACCTTTTTGGAGATGGATGATAGTAATAGCAGTGGTGGCAGCAGATACAATAATAGTTGTATGTTTTTCCAATTGATTCAAAAAGTTACACATATATATATGTATATATAATATGTATGTATGTGATGTGATGATGGTTGAAAAAAAAAAGAAAAAGCAAAAAAAAGTGTGTTAAAAAACCCCAAGTCAAAAATTAAAGAAAATGAAACATACCAAAATTTATATATATAAATTATTATTATTTTTTTTTTAATTGCTTGATGCCGATGGCTTTAATTTATATATTTATATAAATATATTATCTATTTTTTTTTTTTTATACACAGATCCTATTTTATATATTTTTTAATTTTTTTAAGTTTTTTTTTCTTTTTTTTTTAGTTTTTTAATATTTTTATTTTTTTAAAAACGACATCCAGCATTTCTGCAAAATTTTAAAAAAATAAGTACCTGTCTTCGAAAGGATCTTTCGAGCAAGAAGTACGAAAGACAAAGAGATGTAGTTGGTTTTATTAAAAGTTGTTGATTTTTTTTTATATAAAGTTTCCAATGGTTTTCACTAGCATCATTAAGCCCATTTAGAATTATTATTGGTAGATCAAAGGTGACACAGATAATTTTTGAATTAGAGGGAAATGAAGTAAAAAAAAAAATCATATGAAAATGTTGCATATAATATATGCTCATTTTTTTATTTTGTTTTCATTTTAACATAAAGTGGTTTTGTAATTTGGTCAATTTTACCAGAGTACAGCTCACAAACCTTCCGTCCCTATATGTAATTTTTCTGCTTTTGTTCGTTATAGATATAGAGAGAAATTAATTATAAAAAAATGAATCAGTGCCAAAAGTGAAGTTCGTTATAGAGAGATTTGCTTAGTGTTCATTATAAAGGAGTTCGTTATAGAAAGGGTGTGAACTGTATTATAAAATTGATAATTTTGAAATGTTTTTTCCGAAAAATCTCATAGATCACCAAGTTCAACAACAACTTGTTAATATTAAGAAAAAGAAATAATCGCTTAGTTATAGTTATTCTGATATTTCTTCTTATATTGTGGTATTATTGGTAGTACTGGATTAGATAATGAAAATGAAAGAAAGGATGAACCAAGAAAGAAAAGATACCATAATCATCACCATCATCTGAATCACAAATCATCTAAATCACGTAAACATCCAAAAGTTATCATCATCATCGTCACCATAATCGTCATCATCCAAAAGATATTTCATCTATCAGTTTCAAAAAATGGTTCAACCGATACAAATACCATAACATCATCGTCGAGTGAGAGTGAGAAAGTGAGATGGATGAAAGGCAATGCTTAATAAACAATTTCTTGGCAAAGAACAAATTAATGATGCTGTTGTTATTCCTACAAAACATAATGAACTACATCAAGAACATGGATAAGAGTTGGAAGATAGAGGCAATAATTTAAATAACAATAACAGCAGATCCTTTTCTTGCCAATAATGCTCCACCATAACTATATTTATCAACCAGTAAATTATTATTGCAATGCGGTATATTTTCAAGAAAATAAATGTATTATTACACATCGTGGCGAGACAAATGAAGAAATTCAAGTGTTTGAAAATGTTGGATATGTAACCAGTATGTTTTATAAAAATTTTATTTTCCTGGTTAATAATAATATTACATGCATAGTTTACGACGATATCTATGATAATATATCTGTACATGATTTAAATTATTTTGGTTTAATATTCAAGAGAAAAGTATAGAAAGAAAACGAGATTATTTAGAATTTAAAGAATTATTGACAGAAAGTTAAACCATCCTATACATTTTATTTATTTATTAAACACGAATGAGTGATAAGTTTACACTTTATTTTTAATTTTTTTTATTCTATGCATTTTATAAATGATATTTATTACTATTATCATAATGTTAATACTATTATATAGAATGGTTTTTACAACTTTATAAATTTTATTTTGATTATTGTTATCGCATTTTGGAAATATTTGGCCATATATAATTAAATTAAAAAATATATCTTTATTTTATTTGCCCTTGTTTTGACATGAACAAGAAAAACCACAATCTAATCATTAATTAATTAGTAAATATTAGATATATGTGCGTGTGTGCGTTAAAAATAAATAATATAATCTATTAATCTATTAAATTGAGTGAGTGAATGAATGAATGTATAATAAAATCTTTGAAAAATTTTTATCACAAGTATTAATTATATTATATTATTATTATTATTATTATTATTATATTTATTACAATTACATTGTTATTCTAATCCAAATACGTGATATGTCAGATGTACAATTGCAAAAATTACCTAATTAAAAAAATAAATATTCATTTATTTTTATCGAATTTTAAAGATAATAAATTATTATATATTAATAACAATTAAGTACTTACAGGTTGCCAAACAATTAGATAACGAACACCGTCAAGTAAACTTAGATAAAGTTGTTGCTGTGTATCCCAAGGATTAGTCTTAAATTCTTTCAAATCAACTTTTTCTTTACTAAAAAATTTATTTTTTTTTAGAACAAAAATTTAAACAAATAAATATATCAATAATCTTTCCAAAATAAATAAATGCATATATGTATGAATAAATGTATTTACCAATATGGACAAATATCTTTTTTTCCTATAAGGCACCATCCTCTTATACAATCATCGTGAAATACATGACGACAACTTAATTTAAATATTTTTTGATTTGCAGGTGCTTGTTCACCTTTTTCACCAATTCCTGTTGCAGCGACACCACAAATTGCGCAAATATTAGCTCTCAAGTGTTTACGAGGAAAACCATCTTTACTATAATAACCAAGAGTTGATGCCATTCTATCCGTACAAATTTCAACAAAATCTCTACTTAAGACACTATTGAACGTGTATAAGGTTATTAATATTGGTGATAAAAAAATTTTTTTAAGAATAAATAAGAATAAATAAGAAATTCCCCTATTACCCAAAATATAATCCATAACCTAATAATATAATTCCCAATTCAAATATTTCTGCTCCTTCATAAAAAATCTCTAATATTCTAAAAAATGTTAACATTATGATTATATAACCAAACATCCCAACAGCATATGACACTTTATAAACTATCGAAAACCAATTATAAACTAATCTGAATATAAATAAAATAAAAATAAAATAAATGTAAGTAATAATTAAATAAATCAATGTTAATTTAAATAATTAATAATTACCTTGGAGTTGTATGATCTAAAGGCTTTCTTGATGCTAGGTATATAACTTAATAATGATTTTAATGATAACAGCAATTTAATATAATAATAATAATAATAATAATAATAATAATAATAATAATAATAATAATGTAACTAATTAATTAATTTAATTTACCATATAAATTAATAATAGAATAACAGATCCATATTGACAAGAAACGCCAGAAACTCGCTTGAATTCCAAATATGTACATTGGTATTAACCACAAGCCAAATAAGGTGGCAGCTTGGAAGGAACGATAGTGTTTTTGCTTCCAGAATAAAATTAAAAATTGAAATCCAAACAATGAACACAATAATATTAATGCCATTGTTCCATGTTGTGCCTCATGACCAACATGCTCCCTTTCAAAATCCTCAAATGAATCTATTGCAGGGCTTAATTCAGGAGAACTAATTGATAAAAATAAAGCCAGTGAAAATTATTTATATATTAGAAGAAAAATATATATATTATTAACGAAATACAAACCTTGATAATACATTGTCTGTATAATTTTCTAAGCCTGATTCTATAATATCGTCTAAAGAAGAAGTTATATTTAATAATGTCTGACTTGGTTCGACTTCATTCATGTTTGCTTTTTTGATCTATTATTATTTTACTTCTTAAAGGTATTTATTAAATAATAAAAATTTTATTTTGTTTTTTGAATTATTTTTGCCAACTATATGAATCATTTGGCAGATTGAAATTTATAATTAATGAATGGATTAGAAATGATATAAGAAATCCTGATATTCAGTTCAAAAAACCTATCAACATACATGTTAATCAAATTGGAAATTACGAAAGAAAATTTTTATTGTCTGTTATTTTTATTAATTTTTTTTGGTGTAATAAATGATTAGGATAGGAAGATATTTTAACAATAATAATTATATTTAGTAATATAATATAATAATAATTGTCTTTTTCACCAGGGCCCCTGCCTGCATCAATACCAATCACTTCTTTTTTAGGTAATTTTTCCAAAACTTTACTTTTTCGGAAACCAATTAAATTAAAGGTACATATTCATTCTAAATTTTAGCAACCCCAGTATCAATTTTATGTCTTTCCTACCAAAAAATCATTAAAAGTTCTCTTGATTTTTATAATTTGTTTTACTTTTAGAAACACAACCCATTATAAAGATATGGGGCATACTGCAACAAAACCAGACAAAGTGAACATTGGTATTACCAAGAATTTCAGGGTTCAATATTGTTTGTTTAACATCACAATCATATTACCAATGTAAGGTGATCATGATATTCATCTAGACAAAAATAGTTAATATGAAACTCATTTATATCAGATCTACTATGGAACCAAAGAA